AAATAACTTAACTTATAAAATAATTAAAAGTATCTTTTTAACATTATAATGTATATGTTACTGTGTAAGACCGAAATTAGAGAATGTCGATATTCTCTGGTGAATGTCGACACATACAAAATACGTCGGTGAAAGACCGAATATTTGGTTATATTATTATACATTCGAATAATCGCTGGTGTATGTCGACAAGCACAGATAAGCTTTGGTGGAAGTCGAAACGACACCCGAAAAGCTGATGTCGACAGAGAAGCGACAGTCTGTCGCCAAATCCTTTGTGGGCAGTCGGAGTTAGGACAAGGTCGTACCTCTTTTCCCGGCAACGGTTTGATGGAAATTGCCTACTTTGTCACTGGATGGAGTTTTTGTTCTTTTGATACCGTGAGGTGGGGATTGGTCAGGTCAGGGATTGGTTAGTCAGGTCGAGTGGTGGAGGATGAGAGGGGTCGTCGGTAAGGCGTCGGTGATATCCGAATAAAAGACACCATTAACAGATCATTTCGTAATCACGTAATAACGTAATCGGTTCGTGATTTGTAAAGAAAAGTTACTTTTTATAGATGAGATTCCTTTTCAAGAAATATCGCTGAGAGAAGCAGCTACAGCTAAATCGAAAAAGTAGAGGGTAAGGCTATACATTTTTTTTTTACATTTAGTGGAGCACTCCCTCTGACCTGTAGCATTAAATGCTACTGGCTTGAGTTACTCCTCTTTTAATTAACCCTGCTTCGCATATGCTTTGCAGGTAAGGCTATACATTAGACCCCGTATAACACTGTAGATATTTCCATGTTATAGGAATTCTATGTTGTACGAGTCACTTAGATTTTACAAATATGTGAGCTGTTCACAGCTCGACACACGTATTTGTAAAATCTAAGTGACTCGTACAACATGGAATTTATATAACACGGAATTATCTACAGTGTTATAGGGGGTCTACTGTACACGCTGTCATTGCAAAAATAAGTGTTCCACGAATAAATGCAGTTGTAAAAGCAAACAGTGCCATAACAGTTTAAGTTATTGCAATAAATAAGATTGTACAACGTCAATCACATAATTTATGTGTAAGTTTATTATTGTATTATTTTCTTTAATTATTTAGAACGTACTGTTCATTTTAGGTTCAACAGTTTATTTACATGTGTCGTTACTTAAGCTTTATATATCCTATTTTGACGTATAAAAAAGTTGCATTTTTGTCTTAACGTAAAAAAAATATTTTGGTTCAACATTCACCATCAGTGCATGCTGAATGTTGACATTTGCCGGTGTAAGTGAGAAATAATGATATTTAGCAAATATTTTGTACATACACGAAACGACTGTGTGAATGCTGACATTCGCCAGATATCGGTGATTCACAGTAACATGTATACATCTTGGAGATTTTTTTGGCCTAAATATGAAAGATAACATCTTTAAATGACCCCCGGTTTCTCTTCATAACTGCATGAAAGGCGAGCTCTTTCAAGCAGTTATGGCACTCTCCACGACTGCTTGCAAAGTGACTCTGTTTATAATTTCGAATTTTATGACTAATATTGTCCTTCAGCTCAGCAAGAGTTCAGGGTTTATTAATAAGCACTTGCTGTTTCAAATATCCACATAAAGATATTTGAGCGGAAATCACAATATTTGCTCATTGAGTAAGAACAATGGAGCGCTGATGTTCAAAGTAAAACTCAATAAGTTTACATTGTTTTGTCATTAATTTACCCATAATTTATTTCCAAATTCTGTATTTTAAAAATCTGAAAAAAAAATAATAATAGCAAAAATGTTATTTAACTTTTAAATGGTAAAGTGACTTTTGGCCCACCCTGTATTACTAACATTCTTTCTTATGACTATGATTGTAGATTTGAAACACTTATGCAGTTTTTAATTTTTTTTTTCTTTTACATATTATAAAGATGAGTTCAAACTAGTAAATATCCTGGTGGATCACCTTATAGTTTCCAGCAGTTTAATATCTCATTTTAGTATTCATACAAAGTATAGTAGTGTCTCATAACGTAGGCCTCGAATAACGGACACTGCGAACAATGGACTTTCCGTTTGGCAGTTGCATGAGGCGAACAACGGACTTTCTGCAAACAAATGCAAATGATGTTTCCACTCTTTTGCCATTGCCAATGACAATCTGCTATTTTTATAATATATTACTATTATTAGATTATATTATTAGTATATCTGAAGTACAGAGCTCTTGTTGGGATTTGGCTTGCTCCCTTGTTTATTATGTACAGTATATAACCTCGGTGCAGGGTATTTAGATCTATTCAAGTGTTGTAAAAATCATGGCTTCTAAAAAAACAGAAAGGTGATTTAAATAGAAACAAAGCAATAAATCATCAGAAGGAGTGAAAGTTGACAAAAACTTCCAAAAAAAAGAGGTTCAGGAGTTTACCAACACTCATTATCCAAACAAAGCTGAAGCCAACAGGATCAATGATCTCTACAATGACACTCATGCCCATCATTTCTGACAGATGTTGAAGAAGAGAGAGGAACATACCACCTTGGACATGTTTTTCAAGAAGCCAGCTGCCAAAAAACAAAGGATAGAACAAGAGTAGTTGAGCCTGCCAGCTCCGGTAGCCTCTCCTGAATCTGACTCCAATTAAAAAACAATAAAAAGAGACCTGCTGCAATGTGTAAAAAGTGTGTGTGTGTATGAATGTGTGAAGAAAGTGTTCCTCCACCTCCTACTCACAACATCTGATTACCTGGCATAATTGGTGACTGCTCCATTTTCATTTTTTTATGGTACAGTACAGTTATTTTATGCTGTGGAATGAATTATATGTTTTAACGTGTATTTCTATGGGAAAATGTGTTTCGTATAACGGACTTTTCATTTAACGGACATGCACCTGGAACGGATTAAGTACGTTATATGAGGCACTACTGTATATATATTGAAATGTACTGTACTGTACATTTCTAAAGATGTTCTTTTGTCATTGAAACTTTTTCTTTTCTCTGATTTAAACAAGACTTTTTCTGAAATTTTTTAATGTTTTAATGGAATTTTATGAACTATTATTCAACTGTTATCACAGTTATGATGCATTGAGATATATTGTAATTACTTTGAATTTTTATTTTTAAATTAAATCGTTATTTGGATCTCTCATGGAGATTAATATCAGGTTTAATCCTTAATCTAGTATAATTCTGTTTTAAAGAGTGGAGATGCATTTTAATTTTACTATTTATGGTTGAGTTCTCCAGTGTACTGAGTTTTGAGTTGTATTTATCTTAGCTAGCAGTTCAAAATTGACAGACTGACTGAAAAGAGAACATCTATTTGACATCCTGTTTACATTTTATTACACCCCTCCTAATGCACAGTAATGTAGCTCTGCCAATGTGCAGAAGTTTGAGAAATCATTGTTTAAACTTTTCTGTATGTTATATAGTTTTATAAACAAATCATAATGAGTAGGAATGGACCAATGAGTAAAGCATCACATTGAGAAATTCAATATCACAGGTTCATTCTCAATGAGCATCATATGATCCAAGTAAAACAAATTGTCCATTTTTTAAATACGGATATTATAACATTCAGAAGAAAACTGGAGATAGCTGTGTTTCCACTCATCAAAGTGGCTCTGATGTGTTTTATTAATTTTCATATCACAGCCAGCTTTGATGAGCGAAAACATTGGCAGTTGTCAACTTTTTAAAATAAAAATGAAATGTTAAAAGTAATCATTTTTAATTTAAATTCAGAATTTACTCATGCAGTTTAAGCATTAATTGCATTTTTTTTTTTTTTTTTACTTCAAAAAATTCTGATTTAATTTGATCTTGGTTCATATTTGTAGTTTTGGTTCTGGTTGATATTGATTTTATTGGTTTTGATTTGTATACAAAAATTCAAAATACACCCATACCACCCAGTACCTTGATCTACTCCAGCAACTGGTTATTTCTCTCAAAGCAAATGTTTTCAATCTTCTAAGATCATCTTCAGGTATGATGTATAAAAAGATTCTAAGATTCTAAGATCTATAAAAATTCTAAGATCATCTTCAGAAGATGTATAAAAACAGACAGTTTCAGTCTGTTTTTAAAGAGAAATAACCAGATACTAAAGTAGATTCAGGTACTGTGGTGGTGTATTTGTATTCCTCATCCAGTTTCAGTGTGGTATTTGTTTGAAATACACCCTATTATTTTTACACAATAGATACATTTTCCAAAAAATCAGTATAAAAGACTTTTGTATGATAAAAAGGAAGATTGGTTCTAGATCTTAAAAACTGTAAAAATAATACAAAATTTTAGTCTTTAACTAAAATTGATATTTTGTTTAATCAGAGGAGGGACAGTGGTAATTTATGAAAAAAATTTAATTTTATATTTACATAAATTTTTAATTGTATTTTTTGACTTTTTAGTTAAATACCAAAATACCTTCTAGCTTTTAACATCAAATGGCATACAAAAACTATTCTGTATGTAAAGAAATCAGGAAAAGTGCAGTTATACAAATTGTACAATTTCTTCAAATTTAGTTTTTTCTGAATGCTTTAAATGTCTGATAGTCATAATGAAAGACTGATCATCACTGTGTTCAAGAAGTCAAAAAAAAGAACCAAGTCCTATAATTTCCATGTGTGTGGGGGCAGTATTAAATGCAAATTCTTAGAATTAAAATCAAATACAGATTTTAAAAATGTAAATTTTATTGAAACTGTTACATCAGAACAAAATATATAAAAAGAATTGAATGTTTATTCCAGACCATGTTAAATCGGTTGTCTATAAACAGAATTTGGTGTTTTATATATATATATATATATTATTTTATATAATGTTGCCTATTGTTTTATATTACATTCATATATCTATCTCCATTACTGAGTTTAATATTAAAGATAATTTTTATTTTGAAGATGTATTTTATTCATGTTACTTGTCTTATTTTATTGGATGAACACACTAAAATTAATGTTGAAAGTGCCTTTTAATGTTTTCAGATAGATTGTGTTTGTCACAGACAAATTATATTTGCTCTAACAGTTGTAGACATGGTGCATGCAGCCTTGCCAACTCTACATATAGTAAGACTGTTAATATCAAAGTACAAAATGGAAATAAGCCATACATGTAAAAATTTAAATCTAATTGATAAAAAAAATTGCATAAATATAAAGTTGTTTGAGTATAGCTAGCAGCAGTTAGAGAACTGATTAAGAGAGCAATAATATACTCAACAGATAAGGATAGAAATATGGAAAGTTAGAGAATCAAGAGGTTAGTGCAAGAACTTTGATCATCCCTTTTGGAAATCCAGGGTATTAGGAAGGAAGCAATGAATAAAAGGATAGAACCAGATGAAGAAAACATGCATAAAGAAATAGTTGTGGTTACAGACAAATCATTAGCAGCAATAGGGGCAAAATATGCAAAGGAACATGGTATAAGTTAGTCAACAGGTTCCTTTTTACACCTATGTACAGGTATCTCTTGTACAACATAGCACTTCTACAACAGTTTCATTCTAACATGATTAGAAAATTGAGGAAATTTTCCATACGTGTTGTATGGGAAATTTCCTCAATTCTCTAATCTGTTTCCAGTTTTGCTCTAACACTGAGAATTTGGGAAATTACTCTTACAAAATTTTACAATTTTTAAGTGCAAACTCTGTTGTTTGATATTTTTTTTTAAAACTCAAGTAAGCATGTGTGTTATATCAAATTTACTCATGGATTTTACAATATTGAAATATTCAACTTTTATGCCTTTCATCAGATTTAGTTTAATGAAAACTGAGTGCAGTTTTTTCCTTGTCTTAGCTTTCCTATCAACCAGGTGTTGTTGTCATTGCTTTCAGACTTTAGCCTCTAAGACTGTTGCTGTGTTTTGTTTTTATAGATTAGATAAATTTTACTAAATACACAAAGATTAAACACTTTTTTAGGTAAGTAATAATTTGTAAAAATGATGAACAAAATATGGTACATGAACTATTCCTAACTCAGACAATTTGGTATCAAAACACAAATTCTGGCAAAAAATCGTTCAGTGTGTGACTGATCAAATGAGGGCCCTCTAGAAAAAATTTTTGATTAATAACATATTTTTATTTTGTCATCCATAAAATTTTTTATGATAAAAATTTTAAAAAATGAAAACGTTGCTGATATTTCTGATCAAGATTGACAAAATAGCTGAGAGGACAACAATACTTTGTAAAGAGAAAACACCTTTTGTTTAACTAAAATTACAGTACTTTTAATTGTGATTGTTAGTTAATTATTGCTATGACATGCACACCTTATGTCTCTGAGAACCAATATTTATTGTTTTACAAACAATAAATATTGGTTCTCATAGACATAAGGTGTGCATGTCATAGTATTTAAAGAATCTGAATATATATTGAAAAGTTAGTTATTGATTGCTTTAAATAAACATATTTTTCTTAGTGATGGAAAATAGTGTATTTACTAACTTTTGGAACCTAACCTTAGTTTGCATTAGTCTTTTGTTTCGTATAGTATGAATTCACATAACATGGCATTTTTTCAGAACTACTACTGTGTTAAACAAGTATTCCTGTACATTCTCAGAAATGAAAGATAGAGCTAGTAGGCTATTGATGGCAAGAATATATGCTATATGACAAGGCAAAAACAATGAAAGCTTCTATTATATTATATTGGGTCCACAACCAGATTTGTAAATAAAACAATAAGAGTACATTAATTCATTGGTATCAAGTAGTAATATCAACCACAAGGGTTCCACATTCGTATATTAGAACAGATTATATATATATAATTAGTGTTAGACAAAATTGAAACTCAATAAACTAATAAGAATGGAAACACAAAAAAGAAGCAGTTGATTGTATTATAAAAAAACATTAATCTAGAATCACAAATTATCTTAATTGAAACTGAGGATGGCTAAAGGGTAGCCAAAAACATTTTTTTCATTAAAAATTAGATTTGATATTCTTAAAGCAATTGTTCAAATGTAAAAACAACATAATTTAGGAAACTAGGCACTATAAAGATGATTTTAAAAATTCTGAAAAATTTATTAATGTGACCGTAGGGTCGGTGTCTCTTTGACACCATGTCAGGAGACCTGAATCTGACACCACCGAGTCTCGCAGGACTCAGAAATCGCGACGTTACGTCACGCGAGTGGTAGTGGGTGAGCAATTGGATTCGGAGTAGAGGTGAGGAGAGAGACGAGGAAGTAAATTTATCTGATTCCATGGTTGCTAACAATTAACAATTTTAATGAAACTAAAGGAAATACAGAGAGAGTCAATTTCGGTCATAGTTCCCCTATTTACGAGAGGCCCGTCGAGAGAGAGAGTTTACAAACGAATCGCGGGTTGATAAATACCTTGTCGATGGACTGTTCTTTCTACTAGTTCCGAATCTTGTCCGTTCACTGGTGTGGAGGCACGGAGGAGTGTAGAGGCTTAACCAGGCACAATTTTTTTCTCACGGTTTTAATCCTGGGTCACGATTTTAATTCTGGAGGATGACTTTGTTGGGCGGACTTTGGAAGACGACCCTCTTCTGGGTTTTTTTTCTTTTTTTTTTCTTTTTTTTTTTCTTTTTAATTTCTGTTGGGTTTTTCCATTAGGTCAAGTGGTTGTTGTTAAGGGTCTGGCGTCCAAGATGGGCTCTTCATCGAAAGNATCAACGTGAGTAGCAACTCACATGGTGAGATGGGAAAGCACGTGAGTTAGAACTCTAGACTACCAATTTGACGTCAGTGTGTGAGATGGTACCACGTGACACCTTCAACACGTTGGGAGTTGTAACACGAAAAACTCGAGACTAAGGGCCCAGGATGAATTCATTATTAATGGCTTCAATTTATCAACAAAAATTTTAATTGCATCTATGAAATCAATTATGTAAAGTTTTCCAGCATTGTCATATTTAAATGTGCACAAATATTTATTGCACTTTAAAAAAGATTTTAATGTATTTTTAAAAAAAGAGAAAGTTTATTATATTGCCACTGATGATCTACAGAACAATAAATATAGAGGCAGATAGAAGTCTCTTTGCACAAACACAAATTGTATAGAAAATGTTTGAAATAAATGTTTCATTTTGTTAAATGCATAAAAGGAACTGATGCTCATTTTGTAAATAAGAGAATTTTGCTTCCCAAATAAAAAATGGTTGTGAATACTGAAAAGAAAAATTGAAGTGTCCCAATAGAGCTTCTGTAGTAATAGTTATGCAGCTACTTATACAAATATAAATTTTTATTTTAAAAATGGATAACATTTTATGGAAGAAATCAAACTATAGAAAATTGTTTGTTTTTTTTTATAAAATGGGAAAAAACAATCTAAACTTATTGTAACTTATTTAATTTCATGTTTAAAGTTCTTATTGATATATTTATTATGAAGTGGACCTAATTCATATAGCTAGATTTCATGTTCTGAATCACAAAGAAATATTTGTGTATACTTAAAACTTATACACACTGGAAGGCTAGCATAGAATAAATATAATTAATACTTTATATATTGGATGACTACAGATGGGAAGATCTTTCATAATTTTTGCAAAATAAATTTAAAGTTGTCATAAACAATGTCAGGAAAACAATCCTTTTTTGGAAAATTTTTTTCAATAAGGGATAAAAAGTTTGGAATTAAGATGGTTGAACAACCTTCACCATATTTAATAAGTAAATCTTCTATCATTAAGGAAACTCTATAAAGATCAACATAGATGTCAATCTGAGGGAGCAATGTCTGCCTCCTCTTCCATATTTGTCAGTTTTTCAATCATATACAGTAGAGTGTCGTTTATCCGAAAGTCGGTTATCCGAAAGAATTCCAGTCGGCTTAAAGTATAATTTTTATTTGTTTTTATATTTTTCAATGTATTTCGTTTGTAAAACATAAAGAAATCATTTTTAACGATACAATAGCCACGATTATTATTTTAAAAAGTTTACGTTAGGCTTAACATCGACGAAAATTCAACGCAAAGTGACACGCAACGGAGAAAAATTTCAACACGAGATAATATATTTTTTCGTACATAATCGGTTATTCAAAAAATAAGTTATACGAACAATCCCAGTCCCCAATTGATTCAGATAAACGACGCTCTACTGTATATAATTACATTCTGTTAACCCAGCACCATCCATACCAATGTGGTGCCAGGTTATCAAATATGTTGTTTCATTGGACAGTAGAAGTTTTCTAGTTCTTTCAATGCCTAGACACAATTTTACATAACTTCATGTATAAAAACTATAAAAAGCCACCTTTTACAATTAAGACACCATTTCAATTTTTTTCAGGCTATTTCTATTCTTGATGGGTTGAAACAAGAACATATTATTCTTACTTTGTTCTTTCTACACTTTTATTGCATATAAATGCAGACACGCTAAATTATCAGTGCATTAACAGTATTGTACTGTAGCCATTTCTGTGATATTTAGCACACTTTGAATCAATAATTATTTCTACTTCTCATATTAAATCCATGTACTAATGTATTTGGAAAAGTTACTAGAAAAATCAAGCTAACTGATTTTACCTAGCACAATATCATATTGTATTGGCATTTGTCTTTAAAGGAAACCCACAACTCTTTCCAAGAACTGCATGTTTTGAATGATTTTACATGAAAATCTTAACACTGGACCTACCTAGTGCACTGATAACACCCAACGATAAGCTTGACATGCTGGCTTATTGGGTTTGCCATCCAAATGCCAGGTTACAGAATTTCACTGTAGCAGAATTGCCAGATGGCCAATCTGACCCTGGCTACATGGTTCATCTTCAAATCTTTGTGAAAAGATTTTAATTTTAAATTAGTGATGACAAGTCTTCTCGTAGCCGAGATTTAAGATTTAGTTGATATTTGATGGTTTATGATGATGCTATATGAGTTTGGATAAACTCCATAGTTTTCCTATTTTCATTATATCATTGTATTTAAATAATATAAAGGGATTTCAGTGAAATTAGTAGTATATTGTTATATAAGTAATATATATTAATTATACAAGTAAAAATTATACATTAGTTCTCTAAAATTTACAATGAATGAGTTGATGTAATTTCAATTTTTTTGTTGCAAACACTGGAAAATGAAAGTTAAAAAGAACTTGTAAATGTATCATTTTTCAGTTTGCATATCAAATTACCTTTTTGAGCTATTGAAAACAATCATTTTCATCTGGCAATATTTTTTTTTCTTAAAATGAAATTAAACCATACTATATTAATGAAATATTAAAAAAAAATCTGAGATGATGATTAAAATCCAGTCAATACTGCTGATCTTTTGCCATTTAATATTATGGACACAGAAACATTAGACTAAGGAACATAATATTTCTGAAAAATATGTAAACATCTAAAATATTAATTCAAATTATTTTGTAGTTATAAGAGATGAGA